CACCTCTAATGGGATATCGAGACGAGAGTCGGGAGGATTTAATAGTATTGGGAACTATGTCGTTTCCGGATATTATTCGTATATCGATGAATATGGTAAAACTTACTATGTAGCTTATACAGCTGATAAAGATGGCTTCCATCCACTTCCACCAAAACCGGTAAGATTTTGACAAATGTATATTATTTAAACAATCTTAAAATATTTTGTATGTTTTTTTGTAAACAAAATAGAGATGATAGCATTTTTTTCCGTCAGGTAGATTATTGTAGAATATAATAATAATATTAACAATATATAAGAAGTTTTTTTTTGCATAATCAAAAAAATACGGCGATACATTGAGTTGTTATGTCGCATGACCTTAGTACATTTTCTACATAGTTGTGACGTAGTGAGCCCCTTTTTTCAATTTTAATATCTATTATCCAAACCATTTCTTTATAAAATGAACCAAAAAATATGTCTCTCATATTTAACTGACGAACTAAATAGATTTTTTTTTGTAATTAACATCATCTCTATTACAAAATTCTGACAAATTATTGCAGTTATTTATTTAGCATCGCTTTTTGGCAGTTATATTTGACTTTGTAGACACCTACTATCAGTAGCATAGGCCTCCCCCATTAGATCTCCACGGCGAATAGTTTCATACATTATTAATTAATTGATGTTTTTTTCCTCATGTAGTTTGTTCCCATCTTTCCGCATGTTGAGTTTGCTGCACCAGCGCCAATAGTAGCAGCCCTGCTTGGTTGATTGACAAATTTTCTTACAAAAGAAGTTTTACCAGAGTAAATAATAATATCGGTATTTATTACAAATACCACTATGCATCTACGGCATATTATTATAGTACATATTTATATGCAATATATTACACTCTTCTAAGTGTTCTGCTATGACATGTCCATCCTGTAAGAAATGAATATCAAGACCCTTACTGAGGACTCCATAGAACAACTAGTGTTGCAGATAAAGTTGAGGTTTAAAGATCCTGCGGGCGCTCTTCGACACGATGGACAGATCACATTAAATTTGAAAGACAAGAAACATCAATAACCGCCTTGTGTGTGTGTTGCCGTGTGTGAAAATTAAATGTTATATTTAAATCACTGTTTTATTTGCATTTATAGTTCAAATAAAAAGGTAATACGAAAATTATGCTTATATATATTATTTTTATTTTATTTTACTTTTAGGGGTTAACAAACAGAGGTACATTAATGTTAAAAAATTAATCGATATAATTGTATACGAACACTATTCACCACATCATGATCAAAAGAAACTAGTTAACAGGAGGTCGCACCTTAAGTTTTTCAAAATCCATAGGAGTACCTTTAACTAGAATTAATATCTTATAACTGGACAAAATGTTTTACATTATTTTGCAAATGCATAAAAAATATGTGTCTGGTTAAATTATGTATTTATAAGGTACAAACAGCAAAGTACCAAACAAAAAATAGATATCAAAAATTATACTTTTTTGACAATACATTCATATTACGTATATATCTGTCTTCTATCTATATTAATACTTCATTTACAGAAAAAATCTTCTATACATAGATTATTTGGGCAAGGTATTGTTACGGTGGCGGTCAGGAATGGCTTTTTAAAAAACTTTTTTTTATTTAATACTAATTATTTGTATGAACAACACGATTTATTACACTATTTTAGATAGAATTTGTTGTTCGACGGGAGTCCGATTCAAAACGAATTTTATTCAATATTATTATTGCGTTCAAGACTGGGTTTCCTATTGCATGACGACAATGCGACAGGAAACGTCTATGTTGCGTTTTTCATTTTCATAGGAACAAACAAAAATTATATTATAACAGTATCCAATAATTGTTTTTTTTAAATTAATATGGCTACTTTCTAATATATCAATATTATTGAAATAAAATTAAGGCTGTTGACTAATTGATATGAAATGAAATGAAAATATCTTTATTCAATAAAGCGTTATACAAGCACTTTTGATTGTACAAAAAAAAATGTTTTTGCCCTACCACTCGCTCAGGACGTCTTTTAGCTGACAAGAAGAACAAGCGAAACAAACTTACCAGCTCTTTCTCATAAGTAATGACATTAACATAAATCATATAATTACTAAAATATAACAATAATAAATACAATTTTCAAAGTCTGTAGGACATAGCTTGGTACATATAATTAGTTGCCATAGAACAAAGCAAAGGGTATTATTTCTGTACATTGCGATCCTTAAAATAATCATCAACTTTATAATAGCCTTTACTCATAAGTATGTTCTTTACACGAATTTTAAATTTATTTAAGGGTAGGTTAATTACATTTTCTGGAACTTTATTGAACATAGCAATGTATTTACCCAGAATACTCTGGTTTTTTGAAGCTGAAGCTTGGAACGGCAAGTTTACATATTTCTATTTCTTGTGTTAATATTATAAACACTATTTTTTTGTGAAGGAATCGTAAGGTTTTCTTGCGTACATAATATTTTCATATATGTATTGAGAGGCAACAGTCAAAATATTTATTTCTTTAAATATTTATCTGAGAGATTCCGTAGACCGTAAATTTTATACAGCGCGGACAGCTCTGTTTTGTGGAATAAAATTATCTTGAATGAGTTGAATGAGTGGTGGGATTCTGCGGCTAGCCGCAGAAATCCACGACAATAAGACATGCGTGATTACATTATGAAAATAACTAAAATATACCAATTTTGCCGAAGAGTTTAATTTGCTTAACAGCAAAAGCTGCAGAACTAAGTCTACTTGACAAGTCATCTATATGAGGATCCCATTGCAGTCAGAGATGTAGTGTAATACCTACCTACCAAGAAACTTAGTCGATTCTACCAACTCAACTTTTTCACTATTTACATTTATATGTGTGCATTTCGTTTTGTTTGAATTGATCTTTATGTATTTTGTTTTGTTTGAATTGAGCTTTAAATTATTATTTTCAAACCACAATAAAATATTGTGGAGAGCATCATCTTCATCGTCAAAAAATCATTACCCATCTTAACTTTAATTACTAAAGAGGTTTGAACTGCAAATAATACTGGGTCGCACAAATTCTTTGTAAAGCGAGAAAGATCATTAATGTAAATTAGAAAAAGCAATGGTCTTAATACCGATCCCTGAGGTACGCCCATAGTAATGGTTGCCCCTGCAAATTTCGCTTCATTGATTACTACTTTTTGAATTGTAGCAGAAAGATACGATTTTATTAGGTAAAGTGAATTTTTCGATATACAGTAATGCTCTAATTTCCCCAACAATGTTTCAGGACTAAAGCAGTCGAATACTTTTGACAGATCGCAAAAAATGCCAATAGCACCTTGTTTACTCTCCTAAGCATAACAGATATGTCTTAGAAGTGCGATAAAGTGGAGATGTCTTACCAACATCTGAAACAAATGATGAGTATTTCGGCAATGAATTCTAGTGGATATTTTATTATATATTCTGAGATTGGGATACAATCGTAATTTTTGTGATATTTATCATAAAGCAATATTGCTCCAAGTTGCATTCGCCCATTAGAAAGCTTATCAATATCATATTTATCCAGAAGTTAAATGGTAAATAACTGTGTTAACATTTGAACTGTACACAGCGTAAAAAAAATATTTTGTTTTTTTCCCAAGGCATAGTTGTATTTATCATAAAATAGATTCCAGACTGGTACAGTATTAGCACAGTAATTGGGAACGAATCAGGATGTGAACGATTGCGTAAATTTTGCATTTGAGAGCATAACGCAGCCATATATTTTTAAAGTTCTGATAACTAAGTGGTCAATATGCAAGTCTCGGTGTAACTTTATCACCGCTTTTAAACACATGTACAACACGGGTTGCTTTTCAATCCACTGGGAATAATATTTCGTTTAAACGTAAATTATATAGGCAACACAGAGTCACTCAGAGACTCACATATACTGAGATTGAAAAATTGGTGGGAAATTATCTAAACGTGGCCCCTTTTATTAATCAAGTTTACGAGTCCTTAGTTAATTGTATATCATTAATTACAAGAGCTGAATATTGATTCGAAACAAATATATTAACTCAATATCTACAATCTACATTAATATTATAAAGAGATAAAGTTAATAACTTTGTATATTTAGTAGTTTGTTTCTAATGAGCTATATTCGGAAATACTGATCGGACCATGAAAATTCTTTTAGTTACGAAAAGCTACATCAAGGGGTGTGTGATATGGGCTATAATTTACATGGGCCAAGTCGTTAATATAAATTTTGAAATAATCTATTTTATATCATATTATATCCAAAGTACACCTAAATTAATAGTTGAAATCGAATCAATTAAAAAATTTGCAAACAAAGCTATTACAATAGATAAAAATTGTTAAAAATTAAAAAGGCAATGTTATAAAAATTATATAGATAGATATAAAGATACTTATTAGGTAGTAAGTTTTTGAAATTATATATATGTATAGTATACGTGACTATAGTTCTAACAATTAAAAAAGACTGTAGACTTCGTTTTGTTATGATAAAAATTAAATTAAATAAGATTTAAAAAAAATAATGTTTATATTTTTATGCGTTATTGCAATAGTCATGAAAAGATGTTAAAGACGATAATAATAAAAGAAGTTTGCAATTTAATTCTTTCTTGGTATTGAAATATTTAATACAACTAGGCGAATTTTGCCTATTATAATGAAGGAAATAAGTATAATCAAAAGGCATTAACAACTTTCTTGAAACTTTTCGAAGTTTGTTATATCAACAGTCACTTATTTTTTAAGAATTATAAATGGTCTGTAAATCGGTGTATTGCATTCATAGAATAAAAAAACAAATAATGTATAAAATTTTTATATATCCTCATAATAAACTTAGAATTAAAAATAAATCACAGTAATCTTTCTATGACACTTAACTATGATGTATCACATCAGTTCTTTCTTTAGTTAAAATTTGTTCGTGGGATTTATGGCGTGTGTTTCTTAACCGCGGAAAGGTTGGTTCGGGTAGGTCTGCTGCTGCTGCTGACCTGCGGCGGCGATGTACTGAAGAGCACGTGCGATAGCCTCAGGAACGGGAGGAGGGGTGGGGAGATGAGCACCTTCCGCACGGAAACCTGATATAGAATAGAAAACAAATAATTAACTTTTTTTAATGTGGGTCTTTCACAGAAAACTTAAAAGCTATATATAGACTATAGATATGTTACATCCACCACCACCATCACCAGCCCTTTTACGTCCCCACTGCAGGGGCTCAGGCCTTCCTTATGGATGGTTAAGGAGGATGGGCCATGACCCTCCACGCTGGCCCAATGCGGATTGGAGGTTTTTGACGACTGCAAATGCAGCCGGGACCAACGGCTTAATGTGCCTTCCGAAGCACGGAGTAGCTCGAGATAATAATTTTTTTTTGGTCACCCATCCCGTGACCGACCCTTGCGAAAGTTGCTTAACGACTACGATCGCGGGCCGCGGCGCTTATCCACTACGCCACCGAGCTACTAATATGTTACATATTCAATAGTAATAATAACATGTATAAGACTGTTTGTTGCCTTAAATAAATGAAAAAAAAGAAGACGATGGTACAGTCTTTTGGTGTTTTTTTATTAAGACAAATTTCACTGTCACTGGGGATCTAATGTAAAAAAAAAATTAAAAGTATATTACTATGAGGTGATATAAACGTGTGTGTGATTATTACTATTTCTTAGACGATATTATTACATTGTTTTGGATCCACAAAATTAAGATACATTAATGGTTAAGGCAATCGCCCATATTGCGAAAAGTCATGGGTTCGAGTCCCATCACAGAGTGCCAGGGACAAAGCGGATTTATAAAGCATTTTTCATTAAGGATATTTTTCAATATAGCATTTTGAATGCAAAATTGATTAAATATAATAATTAGAACAAATTTTCAACTTTAACGAAAGTTAAAATATTTGTAAAAAAATCTTTTCACATTATTTCACAAATTAGTAAAGGCTATTTTATATATGGGAGCTACTAATTTATGGAGAGTAAATTACAAGTTTCTATTGTTAGCGTTAGTAATGTATATTCAGACTTTTTAGGTACACAAAGCTTGGAAAAAGTTGTAATAATTACCGTTCTCATCAGCGATGTAAGAGACAGAGATGGGGACGCCTTCGGGTGATGTGTATGCAAAGGATCCTTGGGCGACCTGCGCTTCAGCGTCCTTAACACCAGCGTTCTTCAAATAACCTTGCTCTTGTGCAGCAATACCATTGCCAGTTTCATAACTGTAGGAGTCAACAATTTAAAATGTGAACAAAAGAACTCAAAAATCATATTTATGTTCAGATTTATATTTTATATTAGATAACCTGGTGTACTTCGTACCACCTCTCAACGTTTAAACCTTCCCTGGACTACGAAAAGCATTTCAAAATCAGCTAAATCGGTCCAGATATTCTCGAGGTTTAGTAAGACGAATGAATAGCGATTGATTTTAATATATAAATTGAACATTTTAAATACAAACAACGAAGTAAGGAGTGTACACACGGCTGCATGGAAGTTTACCACAACATTTATTCTGAATAATTTAAGGTTTATAATCAAATCAAATTTGCCAATATTTTATCACCTGATGTGCTGTTGAATGTACAACTAAGTAAAAAGCTATTAAAATAAAATCTGTGATTCGTTAGAACAAATTTTAGTTTTATCATTAGTACTTTAAGTGAGTTGAAAAATACGTCAGTAAATGACGCTAAATTTAAATTTACATGACTGCTATAAGTAAGTACAGATTGCTCCTATTATGGTTTGTTAGTAAAGGTTTCATAAATCACATGGTCTGTATCAAACAAGCTCTCGGGGCGTACTTCCACACTGTCGCAAATATCAAATCTAATGGAAGGTTTCACCAAAACGTTTTCAGGTCATGCAATGATGTATTGTCAATGTGTTGTTCTTGTAAATCTTTCGAATTTTGTGTATTTATAACTTGTTCGGAAATACAAAGGTGTTTTAATATCTTTACTAGTTGCAATATTACCCTAGTACTAGTTTTGCATCAGAGTCAGGTTTCGCATCGGATAAAAAGTATCATCTATCAAGTTTTAGTTTATTAATTACTATCGAAACAAATTAAACGTTTTCATACAATGTTCAATATACCCGCCATAATGAAGATTTTGAGACAGCGCTATAAACTAGCATTCAACTAATGCAAAATTACTAAAATGTTACTAATCATGACTCAAATGGTTTACCTTAAGATTATCTGTGCCTTAAACTGATAGGTGAATCACAACTAAGTATATGAATTGCACCGATCCGTTGCGCAACTAGGGCTGGGCGCTGTCTGAGATGGCTCTACAAATTCGACACTTAATATTCTTGACACCAGAGGAATTTTCATTTTATGATTCCTTTCATAATCTCATCAATCTAGATGTACTATACCAAATTTATTTTAATTTAATAGTTGATTACGCAACTGTAGCCCGTATTGTACTTTTTAAGAGGATGAGTTATATTTTTTTTATTTAATTAATTCTTTGTCTAATCTAATCAATGTGGATGTAATTTCTCTTTCACCCTAAATAGACTGGGTTATTGTGCTCTTGGGACTATATATAGAGGTAGAGGTGGAGGCAAGGAATTTCTCTCCTTAGAAATGTGCAGCAGTAGGTTTTGTCCATGATAGATTTAAGATATTATTTATGTATGTATACGCATCTTAGCAATTCTGATACATTAAAGCTCATATTATGGAGTAGTAACAAAGATACAACAACCAGACCCGAGATTAGGTAACCAAATACAGAAAAGTCATTTTCTACATTGACCCAACCGGGAATCGATCCTAATATCGAAAAAAAAAAAACAATGAAATTAATATTTTTAAATCCGAATTTATGTTATTTGATATATAAGTGGGTAAAATGGTATATTATAGTAAATTTTCCAATTTAGAACTTATCCTGTCAAAATTATTAATTTTAGACGGTCTAACATGAGTTATCTTTTTTATATTTACCTGTATTGGTAGGATCCATCGAAATTTACTTCTTGTTGTTGTTTTATTATGGGGATGACATCTGCTTGATACTGTTGCTGTTGGTACTGTGAGTATTGAGGGGCTGCGCAAACGACTGCTACCAAGGCGGATAAAACCACAAACTGTGAATATTAATAAAATGTATCAATAAAACTAGAATTTTATGAGATTTAGTTTACTCATATTCGAGTGGGTGCCATGTGTCATGAAGTGAATGTAGTCCGAGATGTTACATAACATAGACAAAATAAATAAGTTCCTTTATAGAATAATGTTGATGTACACAAATTGTAGTGAACGAAAAAAGCATGACGAGAAGCCACAAAATACTGCTTCGAATATGATATAAAAAAAACTATATAAAATGCGCTTAAGTTCTACTAAACATGGATATTTAAAAAAGTATATTATGCATTATTATTATGAAAATAATTATCATTTTTATAAAACATCAGAAATGAGTATGTGTAGAGCTCGTGGGAAAATTTTGATTTTATCTAGCAGTCGACAAACTAAATTTATGAAAAATAAATATGATTTAATAACATTTCTCATACAGTAAATCAGATTATAAGCTGACCTCGGTTACCAAATGTATCATCACTCAAAGATCTGGGGTTTTAAAATGCCAGGTCATTTGCATTTTATGCCCACACCTCAAGTTGCAGAATGTAGAGGTAACAGTGATCTATCTGCTTTCGTAACGCCCGTTAACACAATTATTAAGATGACCGTTTCTTTAAAATTATTATCTTGCAAGTCTAAGGTCAACTTCATAAACAAGAGTATTGGCAAACATTAATACGATCAAGGAAGATAAAATATAGTGTATTTGAGTCATAAAAATAAGAAAACGGCTAAATCTGATTCGGACTTGGGCAGTGAATGTGCAAATATTAAATTATGAAACCTCAGACTTTGAAGTTTTTTTGTAATAAAATTAAAAAAAAAATTGTTTAAATTTTTTATGTAATAAAAAACTTCAACTATTTTCCGGAATTTATGCAAAATGTAAATAGTATACACAATTTTTGATTATTTTCTTAAATAGGTTAGAAAATATTAGTTTCAAAATTAAAAAAAGATTCTTATAACAAGATTATCACACGTAACATAATTTGCAAAACCTATTTATTTATTTATAGAACTATCGAAAAGTGACTTTATTTATTAACGTTATTAATCAATTTTTGTTTGTAACTGTATGATTTTTTATTAAATTTCAATCTATTCAGGATTTTTGAAGCATAAAAGCTGTGACGTATTGACGAATGCTATAGACTGCTAAACAAATTATGTTATAAGGATTTAGACTGTTCCTTTTAAGATCTAAAATGACTCTAAACGAATTTTAATATACATTTTTAAAAACGAATATTTGTATAATATATGTTGAGCAATTATTAATAAAGTACAACATCGATTAGTAAGATGATAAATAAGCATTGTTTACAAAACTTATGAGAACATTGTACACGAATATGTTTCGTTGTTGTCCTTTGTTAGACAGGTATCATAGCATCTCTATTGTTGAATGATCATGAACAGGGCACGGGAAAAGAAGCCATTGAGCCTAGTGACAACCATCAGTGGTTCTAGAGCGTACAATAGATTACAACATTGACAGTTTCTATTAAGACAGCAGAAATACTATGCTACTATTATCAAAAGTCGTTTAAAGACATAGTCGCTGTATTTTCGCAACTTTATCCATGGCAATTATAACCTTTGTCACACGGTTATGATGTAGTTTCCCGTAAGTAAAAGAATTTTAAAAATCAATCCAGATGTTTTGAAGCCTATTTAAAAAAATAAATAAATACTTATTCCCTTCGGAACTACCCACATTTATAACTTTAATATACCTCTAAATATATAAACTATGGCGATAGATGAGACAATATTTTAATTCCAAGTAAATAAGCTAAAGCTCTTAATGAAAAATGCTTAGAAAATCCACTTTGTTCCTGGAACTCTGAGATGGGATTCGAACCCACGACGTTTCGCAAACCGGATTGCGGATGCCATAGTGGATTTTAAACATTTTTCATTAAGAATATTTTAAGTATAACATTTTGAATGCAAAATTGATCAAATATAATAAGTTAAAACTCTTTCGTCATAAAAATCTATAATAATAAAGCTAAACAGGCAGATCTGAAACGACATAGAAAAGTTCTTTTTCTAATTTTGTTCCGGTCGGATTCAATATCTGTAGCTTAATAATGTTGATACTTTAAAAGCAAAATATGTTTTTATTAATTTGTATTAATAAAATAATTGATTACGATCGTTTTAATATATTTAGTTGTTGTTATAGATTGAAATGTAAATACTGTATGATGATATTTTTTTAGCTTTGTAATTTATAAATATTTTTTATCAATCAAATATATCAAAACCCATTGGCTTAATGTCTTATCAGAAAATCACTCACCGATTTCATAGTGATGTTTATTTGTTTAAAGTGAATGGAAGAACTGATGATCTTCGTTGGAAGTGTGAGGCGGGAATGATTTTTCAGTTAGACGCCGCCGGTATTTATACGAAATAGCGGGCGGTGCAACACGTAAAATTGGAGTATGCGCATACGGACTAAGCATAGGAGAATGCACGCCGCCCGCCCGCCCGAGTCTCTATAAAATATCCTAACGATTAAATTACATTTTATGACATACCTAATACATTAATTATAATACATGCTTAACTTCTAATATTGTTAATCTGAAACTTTCTGAGGATGTATGTGAGTTTGTTACTTCTTCACGCAAAATGCATTTTGATGAAATTCGGTACATATATATATTTAATTTTTAGCCTGAATTAACACATTTAAATATTCGGGCGAAGCCGCTAGTAATACACTAAGTGCGAAAGTAACTTTGTCTATCCGGGTGTCTGTCTATTACATTTTCACGTCTAAGCTACTGACTAATTTTATAGCCATTTCGTGCACAAGTAGAGTGGACCTTGAGAAAGGATATAAGTTACGATAAATACTTATTTATAAAGTATTTAAATTAAACACACAACTTTTCTTTTATCAAATTTTTTACAACATTGAATTTTTCAGTGTTTTTAAAAAAATGTTGTGTTTGGAACTTCTACAGCTATGGTATTCTGTTAAAAAACAGCCTCAAATGACAAATATAGCAGTGTTACAGCCTAGAATCAATGATATAAAAGCATTATTATCATTTCAAGTAGGTTATATTTGATTGAACCAGTACGTTCGGATCCCGCTGCACTGTTTTCTGTCTTTATAACAGAATATGAGAATATCCCTGCTAATCTTATAGCTTTCAATATACAGTTAAACTTAAAAATATCGATGCAAAAACTATATACAATAAACTATTTTTGCATAGCAAAAACGAAACGAAACTTATATTACGAGGACTTCCAGTATGGAGGATATAGTTAAAGATCACTTTTTTATGCTGATTTGGTAGATATAATTTATTTAGTATTCAAAATTTTAAAATGTGTGAATGACATTGTGGTGATAATTTTATTTCCTTTTGAAACTAGTTTCTTTTTTTATTTGCATAGTGAGTTTTTTACATTTATTAGTATTATCGATCAACCTAATTCTTTGAACATCTGGACAATTAGTATACGCGTTGCTGACACTGACCACATTATTCTACCCCGTGAACTCCTGAAAAACATACCCAATTTTTAATATGTGCTTGTACGTAACGTTATTTCAGCACAGCAAAGATAAGCGAATAAATAAGCACAATTAAATATGTGATCAAGCATTTTGATAAAAACGTTTATAAGAACATTAATATTAAAATACAAAGAAACTCTAAATAGTTTTGTTTCCAACAACTTTAGGGCTAATACGTTATTTTAACTTATAGGTATTGCATAAAGTCATAATAATTTACCCAATAAGGTAGCAGCTAATCGTGTAAATTTGTATGTTTTGATTTCTTGTAATATTATTAAATGAAATTAATTAAGGGTCCGAAACGTCATTAAAAGAAATTACAAACGCAATGAAACCGTTTAAAACTTGTTTTATTTCTATGTTTTCTAATTTGTAAAACGACCCTTTTCCCCAATCTGACTCCATCCACAGGGAAGGCTTATGCCATACAGAAAAGTAAGTTTAACACTAGAAAGACAGGAAAAATAGCATTCCTAGAAAAACGACAAGGACTCATTTGACCCAAATCATTACGTCATACGCCATATAAAACTGCATTATTTAGGAATAATGTAAAGGGTATTGCTATTGTAATATATAATATAATGCCTAAGCACATAAAACAGGTGGATAATCAATCATTACAGTATAAATCAACCCATTTTTTTTTTGCATAAAACTTATTATACCGTCAACGAATTTTTATGTGACACTGACATTTAAGTTATATTCAAAATTACTTTAATAAAAATGATTTATAATGTTATTTGATTATTATTTAAATTTTAAGTAAAAGTTTGAATAATTGTGTGATTTTAATTTATTTTTTTTCTATGACATTTTACTGTCGTGTAACTTAAGTGTTTTTGTGTTATGCTTTATGAATTTATTATTAATATGTAATTAACTGATAAGGTATACCAATTGTTGAATTTTATTATAATATTAATAAATTGAATTTCATTATAATTATATTAATATTTGCACTCTATTAAAAATGGCAGATTATACTGGAACACCATTATTTAAACTTTTCTAGATCTGTAACGTGTATTCCGCAAATGAATGATGAAATGATTGACCCAACACATTATATTTAAATGTAATGAAGAGGGGAGTAATTTCGACAAATATATAGAGCTTTTATTGATTGAAATTTCTACTTCATGGTTTTTCGCAGGTATATCATAAGGCTTTTCTGGCGTATGAAATTGAGATTATTTTTTAAGTTCCTTTAAAGAAAGTACAATAATCAACCAGTTTGAATAGCCAAACGCATATTATCATCAAATAATAATTACCAGGCGGTTATAAATTAATCTCTGATTTGCCTTCGCGCATAAGGAGTTGGAGCACACTATTGGCCAGATTGTTTTTCAGAATTTCTATAAAATTCTATTAGACGACATTGAATTACATATCGTACGTTGAGAATGACAATGTCACTAACCAAAAACGACGTATTTTTTACTTTTGGCAACATTTTTCTTTGTTACCTATAAACTTTAAAATGCAAAGATCCCCTTGAACATAGCTTGCATAGAAACTGTTAGGTGGCGTTGTGACGATATGTTGTTTAGAGAGGCTGATTACAATTTCTTGAACTTTAAACGCTCATTACTCAAAATCGCATTTTTTGCATTGTGTCACTATCGTTCGCAACGTGCGATATTTTCATCGAGATTACTCGTAGCTCGTAGCTGAATAAGAAAAGTAAATAAAAAATACATAAAATATTGTCAAATTGTCGAAGCTATTGATGGTTACATAAATGCAAAAAAAAACACCTAATGGAATTTTACCATCACTTAACTTGACTACTTGAGGTGCTTTGTTCGGGAATATTTTCCTACACTACGAAAGTAGCAGTTGATATTAATTAAGTCAACACGTATGACATATAACAACCACGCCTGTGTATGAATGAAATAAATATTTTGCTGCACCCGCAATTATGTATTTTATTACAATAAGTACCACATGGATCAAAAGACCCCTTACCGCTTTTGTAGGTAAACACTATGTAATTCAATGTATGACCACTAAATGATAATAAACTTTCGACTGTACTGATATTTAAGCTATTTCAATATAAGTCACGAGAGAATAAAACAAATTAATATATACTTTAGAAATTATACAACGTTAAACTTCAAAATGAGTCAAAAGAGCCCCATCCCTCTTTCTAGTATTAAAAAAATACGGTATATACGGCCAGGGACCAAGTGGATTTTTTAAGCATTTTGTATTAAGAATAATTTTCAGTATAGCATTATGAATGCAAAATTAATTAAAATACGGTATACTCGCGTCACTTATTGGTTTATATAGTATAACAGAATGCATGTTTCATACCTACATAAAAGGTAGCGTAAAGTTATTTGTTTCAATAATTTAATGCATTAAAAGTGATAAAATATTATCGATTTGTATTTAATCAGCATTAAAGATATCTATAACTTGAATCTAATTTGAACTATTAAATTGTGTACTAAAATCCCCAAAACTGAACATAACCATTAGACGTACAAATAGCTTACGAGTATATATGATTTATAATAAAATATATTATAATAAGTATATATTTACATTTCTAAGATGTCCATAATAATTATAACACGTTAGTAATATATTGTTAATAGCCGTAAAGAATATTGAATTAATAGGAAGGATTGAGTTTTAATCTCACCAATGTATAGCCATTGCATATGCAAAATTGCGCGGGCACAATTGCAAAAGGAACATTCAGTTTTTAAATATCAGTAAAAGAAATGAAACCGAAAAAAAAAACGAGAAATATTTTATTCATAAATACCGTTATCAACGTTGAAGTCAGCCATTTGATATTAACATCCTACACACAAAGCCTATACTCGACTTCAATGAAAGTTTACGAACATAACTCATCTCTTCTATCATTTTCCTCGTTTTAATTTATTTTTTGAATAAAAAGAGTTTGTATTTATTTCATAGTAAGTACCTTTTGAATTTAATAGATTCCAACTCAACCCATTTTTCAGTATTTGCATTGGTACGATAGATGTCATTTTTAGAACGTCAAACCTTAAAGGAAAAAAACGGAAACCTTATAGAACCACTAGGTTTTCCGTCTGTCATAGCCGTTTTATGCGATCGATTTAAATTCACCATTCTATTCTAACAATATTTGATTGTATGTTCAGTTTCGATACATTTTTTTTTCTCAAATATTGCCAGATTGTTGCAATAAGTTATTAAAACCCCGGTTTAAAAAGTTGGGTTTTTTCACATAGCAGATGTTACGTTTGCCTCGACAATATGTGAGTTACAAAATCACAACGGAGTAGATAAAGTATGATCTTTCTTCATTACACATACACATAATTTACAACGATGGAATTCTTTTGGGATGATGAAAATGTTATACAATTTAATTACATTAAAGATATAAAAGAAATATAATAATCACACACATATCTATACTGACAACTCATATCGAAAGCAGACTGTGGACAGTAGTATTAAATTAACATTAGAAATTAGGCTTAAATTTAATCTCCCTGTTGTATTGTTCATTAGATTGCTTAAAATCAGGGAGAGGGAAATAAAGGACTAACAATATAATATTGAAATGAAGGACTAAAAATATAACATTAAATATATAACACTTATTAAAGAAGTTAGCAAATCTATCGTCAACAACAAACAAAATATATTACAAATATAATGTGAGAAAACTACGAAAAAATATTCAATTACTGCCCACTTTAGAATGTTGATTATGAAAGAAAAAGGGTAATGTAATTCTCAATTCAAATTTTATAAACATACGTAATGTTACGTCTACATTATATAGTAGGGTG